GAGCCTTTAGAGAGTCAGATAAATGGCTTCCAGACAGATCCAGTTTTTGTTCAGGATAGTTTCATAATTTGCCTTGTAATAATGTCAGTGTCCTAGTTTTAAGGCTTAGGCACAATAGTCATCTTGACCTACAGAAATATTCTTTCTCAAAACATTTTAGGTGATATGTGTGGGTCTATAGTTTCAACAAGTCTTCCAATAACTTTGAATTATATTGTGTTTGTTTTCATTCTAGCCTTTAATATTGTGTGATCTCTTTCCACCTCTTACCCGGTCTCTCCTCCATCTGCTGCTGATTTATCAAAGATGACCTTTGGACTGAACTAATGTCATTCTTGTGATTCAAGTTAGTTTTCAGTAAAGGAAAAACATTAACTTTGTAAATTGATTATTTACTTAGTCATGTGAATATGCTTTTCTTACCATAATGTTTCTGTTAAGATGTTGGAAGAACTGTTTTCATGTCATGTAATAACCATGTTGGATATAATGTGGCTTTTCTGGAATTCTTCAGACTTGAAGGGACCTCATAAGCTTTTCCCAAGGAGGTAACATTTTCGACATGTTCTAATTTTGTTGAAGTTGTTCTGTTTCCATTAAGACGATATCTCCTCATAATCTTTCTATCCTCTGGGAAAATGAGTATTTTTGAGTTGTAAAGAGTGCACAAATATATAATTAAAGGGGCATTTCTTATTCTTTGAATTATAGGTTCATTGATCAAGCCAGTCAGTTGTGAGTGTGCGTTGTCTGTGTGTGATGAGATTGTGAGTAGTGTTATTTTTTATTTCCCTGAGACATGAGTGTCAACAACATAAGCCTTTCCTGTCCTGAAATGGAAGCTTCATAAAACCATTGCTGTCTTAGCAGTGGAACTGTACCTTGCTTAGTGTGTGATTAGTCTATTTTTTAAACTAAAATCTATCCAAAGCAGGTTTTATGTATACAAAGGGTACATCTCCAGTTTAGATAGTAACTCCTAAAAGTTTAGGATGTTGTGCATGCTTGATAGGTTTTTTCCTTTTTTTTATGGTCTATTCTGAATTTGCCAATATATTGTATATTTTCATTTATAATGATAAGGCTCATCCAGAAATATTTTTTGAGTTATTCTTTGTACTTTAAGACTACATTAGTCCCTATGTAACTTCCTAATAGCTTTTCTGGGTTTTTCACATTGGTTTTCTAACTTCCAATTTTAATAATTCAACCTTTCTAGCATTTTAATAGGCAGTACTAGTAAGGGAATCAGGGGACGTAGTTTATGGGTTGTAGGCTCTTTGACTTTTGTCAAGTTACTTTGTCTGAACTTCAGTTTCATCATTTATAAAATTAAAGGTTGGGTTTGTTCTCTAAGGTTTGTTCTCAAACTCAGCCATGGTCTAGTATACCACACTTCTTGGATCAGCTATAGTCAGCTTCATCTGTATCATCCTTACCTGCTGCAAAGAAGCTCCTTATATTCCCAAGACCCAGGCATCTGTGTCTATTGATGCTGAAACACTGAAGTCAGACTAACTGTGTCTTCCTTATTTCTAAACAGTTCCTAAAATACCTTGTCTTACCTCTGGTTCTCCAGAACTGTGGCAGTCTTTCGTTAATGTCGTTGCAGAATTACTGCTCACTCTGAATTCACTAGAAGACAAGGGAATAGCCATAATAGTGCCTCAATATTATCATCTTCCCTTATTTAATCTATATGCCCCCAAGTCAGACTGGATGATTTTTGTCAGCCAGTTTCTCATGCCTCCCACAGAATTAGCTGTGCTTGCTTCACTGGTAGAGTTATTTCTCAAACATGAAACTGGGAGAAAGAACTAATTCACTGGGTGCCACAACTGGTGTTCAAATAGATACTCCAAGCCAGAAGAATGGAAAAAAACAAAAGCAATGAACTTAATAAAGGTATTTGTTGGCTCTAAAAGGGCAGAAGTCTTATCCATCTTGTTCATTGGACTCCTAGTCCTCAGGAGAATGTCTTGCTATTATAAGCCTTCCATAAAATGTGTTGAGTGAGTGAATAAATGAAATTACAATTGTTTAAGTAGAATGGAATACTTAACTCTTATAATTAGGGTCTTGGAACACATGCAGAAGCTGGAGAACCACTATGGTAGAGTGTCTGAAACCAAGTTAAATGAAAGAATATGGACCTTTTGTTGAAATGTTAGAAGACTTTATAGGGGAGGGGGATTCATTTGTTTACTTTAGTTCTTGAGTATAGCACTTAGACTAATGGAGAGATTTTAGTTTTTTCAAGTACTCTGTTTCCTGAAATTTGTGTTGGTCATGCCTGGGTTGGGTGACCATATGTATGCAATGTCCAAGGAGGGATTCCTAAAAAAACAGGTAGTTGAACTCACTGATCTCTAAGGACCATGTGAGTTAATAGTTCTATTGAGTTTTACTTCAGAGGGAGATTGGACATGGCATGCTGTTTTACAGAGTATAGTGAAGTGCATAATGAAATTTTCAGTCTTTGCTAAAGAAATTGAACTTCTAGAACCTTTTCTTACAATATCAACATTCTTAAGAATATTAAACTATGGAAATAGTTTTGTAGTATTAATAAGAATCAAGTAACAGCACAGAAAAGTGATAGTGGATGAAGCTGGCTATAAGGGAACAGAGGGGGAATAAAAGATCACTTTGAACATCATTATGAATTACCAGGATTTAGAATAGTAACAGTTATCCTCTGAATACTTTAGTATCCTGACAGAGTATTTCTCTATTAATACTTCACACCAGGAGAATACTTCAGCAATCTGGATGCCTATGCATGTGTAGAGGAAACCTAGAACATTTCAGTAGCCTCTGAGTTTATTTGATAATTGCTAAAAGAATCTTTACAGTGTTAAATTTGAGTTTTCAAAAATGTTTAAATCCCTTATTTAACAATGTTGGAGAGCTTAAAGATGATTACAAACATGTTTGTTGTCTCCTGAAATAAGCAGTTTATTGAGGGAGACAGGAACAGAAACTAATTATAGGACAGCTCAATACATTTAAAATTATAATATAAATAATATGCTGTGGGAAAATTCTGTGTTGGGAGATCAGCAAAGAAAGAACCCTGGGTCTTGAAGGATAAAGTTTGAACGATAAGAAGTGTAGGTTGTAGGTATGTAGCAGTAATGCAGAGACAAGTATTCTCACCTAGGGACTTAATAGTTAAGTTGCTTTCTCAAAAGTAAACTAAAATCATCAGATACTGTTCAGAGCCAGGATGTTAATATTGCTGAAAGTCTCCTAGATGAGAGCAAGACTTAATGAAGATACAGACATGTCTAAAGAGACACTGTATCAGGAGGGAGAGTTTGGGCAGAAACTGAATGTGGACTAAGGGGAAAGTTAGGGAGTTATCTGTCTTCTTCGTCCAAACACTACCCAGGAGAATGGAACACTCATTGTGGTTTGTAAATCCCTGGTGTGTAGCTGGACATGTCAGGCTACTGTTGGCGTGGTGCCACTTAAACATTGTTTCATAAAACAAGCTCCCCCTGCTCCAATTTCCTGTTCATTAGGCCGCATTCTGATTATAATTTGCCTTCCCCTCTAGACTGGTCTACAGGGAGAAAATGAACCGGTTATGCTGACATGAGCATTCTGATCCATATGGCAGTTATGGTTCCATTGTAAACTAATGTAGTTAATTGACTGGCATTCTCGTTTGTACATTAGTCTCTTGTGAGCTTAATGTTACTCTTCTGCTGAAAGATGATTCCATTCACAGTACCAAAAAGAAAAGAAAATCTAGTTTCTAAATTTGCAAAGATAAAATCCAGACCAGGATTATGTACTCATCAAGACTGACGCTGTCTCTTGGCTACCAGCTCCATTTTGAAATAGTGCAACTTCAAGTTGAGTGGTAAAGGTCGGATGTGGTCGGAGGAGATGCATGTAGGAATATTTGAGAAACTGTAGGTAGGTAAAGTATGAGAGAGTGGAAAGGTGGAAGCTGAGGCTGGAGACAGGGACAGAAGACAAGTTGTGAAAGACTGTTCTTTTGGGCAGAGGGTGTTTGCTTGTTTTTTTAAAAGCAAATTGAATTGAAAGGAGATATATCGTGTGATTATTCTGCTAAAATACTTACCATTCTACCTTTCATGATTAATTTTCATTGAGCATATCTGTTTGTTATTTTGAATTCAAGGTGGGTTTGTTGACTGCATTATCTTCCTGATTCTGTTGTATTTACTAGGGTAGGTAAAGATGATTAAAGATGTAACAACTGAAGACTAAACCAGCTATCCATCATGACTTTTTGGTCCACTGTTTATGCTTAACAATTCTAGTGATTCTGTTATTTTCCTCTAAGCTTTGTGCAATACCACTTGAATTTCTCAAGTAATGCAAGTATGTAATATAATGATTGGGCGCCTCCAAGTCCTTGTAATCTGTTAAAGGTTCCATAGAAATTCCTTTTCATGAACTGTATTTGCTTACTTGAAACCTCCATCTTGCTTTTGTCAAATTTTCATGACTCAAAGCGTTTATGTAGTATAACTGCATTTGAAAGCCTAGACTTTTTAAAAAACTATGTTTTGATGAATAAAGGTAGTAATATTTATTTTTTCCTGAAATGAAGTAATTTAACATTATTTTGACATTTTGCATTTTCTATTAGTGCTTCTCTAATATTTATTGAAAGCTCAAAGTCGGTTTGTGGTATCAGGTTTTACTCTCCTATTCTTTAATGGCCTTATGTTACTTAAATAGTAAAGTATATTTTTTTCAACTTCTTTTTCTTATGGCTGTAGAAGTACTACAGTTTTCTTAGCCAAGTATCCACTAAGGGTCCCTCACTGCCCTACTTCCGAATTCTCTATAACTTGACCTCAGTTAATGAGTAGACAGAATGTTTTATTTTAGTAAAGGGACCAACAGATCTGTTTTTTAATACACTTCTCTGAGTTTGTTGTACAGACAGACATCACAGTTGTTTTTGCCTCCATTTAACAGTTGCGTCCTGTTTTTATTTCTTATCCGTACTTTAGGAAAAACTTCTAAGCAATGAAGAAGAGCATTTAAGGAGGATGGAAGAGGCCAGATTGCAGCTCAAAGATCAGCTTCTTTGTCTGGAGACAGAACAGGAATCCATTCTTGGTGTGATAGGAAAGGAAATTGATGCAGCTTGTAAAACCTTCTCCAGGGACTCAATGGAGAAATTGAAAGTAATTATGAGTTCTCATTGTGCCTTTCAGTTAGTTTCCTAATATATAATTATAATAAGATTTTAATGCATGGTTACATGGTAGATACATTTTTATTCTAGAAAGTTTTATGAAACAAAATAATGTCTGGCATTTTTTAGAATGAGGTACTGAATCTATTGCACAGTCATGGTGAGAAAAGTGTGCTGTTATTCCATTGAATTGTCTGTTTCTCACTCTGTGAAATAAAATGTCTTATAAGAGAGGCAGCAGTGGTGACTTAAAAAAATAGGCTTGGAATCCAAAGGCCTGGATTTTGAATTTTTCATTATCTCAGGCCATTTTTTTGTATTATATTACTGCTTAACATCTACTGAGAACTAGTTATATTACTGGTACTTTGGTAAGTACTGTGTATATATTCTGTCCCATTACTCCTAAAACCACCCTATCCTTAGTATTCTGACTAAATCCATTTAAGACAAGATAAAGCAAGGCTTGGAGAGGTGAGAGCTTAAGTAGCTTTCCTCTGGCCTTATGTCTAGTTAAATACTAGAAGTAGGACTTCCAGCCTTGGTAGTCTAACTCTGAAGCTTAAACAAGTAACCACTATGCTATTTGCCTTCACCATTTAAACAAATAATATTTAATTTAGTTTTTCTATCTTTAAAATCGAATACTGCTTCTCAACTTGTAATTCTAGTTAAATGATAAATAAAAGCAGAAGTAACCATGGATGTTCTTAATTCCTTGAAGGTAAGCTCTAGGTCCTAACTCTACTATATCACATACAAAAAGTATCACATTGCTTTGATATGGTGTAATCATAACACAGTACAGTTCAGCCATCATTTACCCCCATATATTATTTAAGTTGATGCTATGACAGTACTCAAATTATAGTATTATGTTAAGCACAATGTATTTTTACATACATTTTAAGCATTTCTTCTTTTTGTTCTCTTGTACATCTTTTTCCTTATGGGAAATGATCTTCCCTTCACATCCTATTTTACCCTCTTTTTCCTGCTCTTCCTTCTCATTTCCTCCACCTTTTCTTTCTTAAGTGGTGTTTTAAAGAAATTGAAACTGTAATTCCTGCAGTTGAAGGTGTCTTAGTATTCTACTTTCACAGAAATATCTCAATTGGTAGAATTTGGTGGAGTTGATGGAATTTCTATGATATGTATTTCTATACAGATTTAAAAAAATACTCAGATCCAGTTTGAGAGGACTGAGAGTCAGATGTGAGAAGGAACTGGCTTAAGGGGAAAAACTAAGCCTTTCAGTCCTGTTATAAGGCCTGTATTGTTGATGGCTTATTCTTTCCCTGTGGAATGCTGCCTTTTTCATTTAAGATTCATCTTGTTTAAATATATTTAAAGGATGTGTGGCCTTGAAATCTTAATTTCATTTTAAAAAAGCACATATTAGCAATGTAATAATTATTCTATGTTTGAGGATTTGTGTCAGGATGGCTTGTTTTCAATTAAGTAGAGATGTACAAATGGGAACATTTGGATCATGCTGTAAGATATATAATCCTTGTTATGGTCAATTAAAGGCAAAAACGTAGTGTACAGATTGCAGGTTGCTTAAATTTATTATTTCTTTATGAGGTGCAAGTTGTACTTCCAACATATTTTGAAAAGCACCCCCTTCTTTAACAGGCTCTCAGGCCTGGATTAATGGTGCCAATGAGTCTCTATGCCTCCTCCCTTAGAGAAAGATTGATTCAATCCAAGTAATGGGTGGAAAGTCAATCTAAAAGGATGGAAATTCCATTAAGTTTTTTTTCTTAAGAGTACATTTTTTTTTTCATTGTAGGTCTTTTTTCATTAATAACTTGTGTTGTTTTGTTCCTGATAAACTTAAAAAAAAATGAATACTCAAGAACATAACATTTGCTCTCACCTAAATGAAACCACCCAAGGTGTGGTAAAAATAAAATTGGTTCTTTGCTTTATAGTTCAGAGATCTATGGGAGAGTGGTGGTCCTTGTAAAATGTTTTTAAAAATTCTGTAATTCTAATTATTCTTTGTCATTTTGTTGATTTTTGAAATATTGCTGCTGAAATTTTCGACCATTTTGAGAGAGTGACTAAATATGTTGTGAAATGAATTGAATAATAGATATGTAACAAATGAGCTTGAGAAAAGTCCTTGGGAATATTGGTATTATTTCTAATTACATTTTTCTTTTTTTAGCCACCATATTTATAATTTAATCCACTTTAGTAAATGCATGTATTGTTTAAAAACTTAAGGACAGACAATAAACCACCATCATTATAAAACACTTAGGCAAGTGTCTGAATTAAAGATACATCGTTTTCACAGACCATCTAATAATTCAAGAGCTTTCCCAAAGCAGTTGGTCTGAACATTCATTTATAGAGTGTAAAGAGGATAGGCTTTGGATAAAGATAAATGTAGGTTCAAACTGCATCTCTCCAAATTGCTGAGATATGACCTTGAATGAGTTATGTATTCTCTATTCTATCTAAGAATTCATATCCCATTTATAAGTTGGCTTATTATGAAAATAAAGTGAAATAAGGAATAGAAGGTGCACATTATAGTATGAAGTATCTTACTCTTAGTAGATACACAACTAATGTTACCTACCATTTTTATGTGGTGGCTTTTTAAATAATATATTCATTATATATATACATGTATGTATATATATGTGTTTGTACCTTTATGTTTTTATAACAAGTGCCTGTTAAAGTGCAGTTGTCATAGTAGACTTTGAAACCTATTTATCGCTGTTATCACAAACACTAAACTAATAAGTTTGTAAAGCAAATCACAAGATAGGAATGTTACTTGTACTGATTTCAAATTATTTTAGACTTTAATCTTGAGCATAATGTTTAGGTCACTGAAGACTTAATTAAGACTATGATATAGATGAATGAAAAAGAATAATAAAAGCATATCATAATCAATGATGAATGGATGTTTATAAATATTCAACACAGCAGAGTGAGAAGAAGAAGAAAACACTATAAACTAGAGTGCTTGGGGGAAGTTTCACTGAAAAGGCAGGGAGGCCATGACAGTTGGGTGAGATTTAGATGGTGAGAAAAGTGGATGAAAGAAAGGTTGGAGGTAAGAACAGAATGCTCGTGTATATGGTGTGTGATTAGCACTCAGTATAGGTTCACCATGTATCTAAGTGAATTTCTTAATGGTATTCCTTAGGGGAGTGATGTGTATGCACTATCCAGAAGTATTTGAGAATAGAGATAGAGATTTCTTACAGCAGAATAGGATATTCTTGGGGAGAACATTTCTAGAAAGAAGTCCTGTAGAAGTATCATAGAAAGTAGGTTCTATACAGAAAGGAGGTTCAAAGAAAGTAGGAATTGAAAAAAAAATTTGTGTTTATAATCATAAAGTCATTGGCAACCTCTGAGTACAACTTTATCAGTAAAGAGGCAGAACTGATGGGAAGGGATTTTATAAATGAGCTGGTGTAAAGGAATTCAGGCAGCTGGTATAGACAACGTATTTATTGTAGGATTTTGTTCCCATCGTGACATACAAAGCTGTGTTTGACTGAGTCATGTTGATTAGTTTCTGTCAGTTCTATATAACCATATATGAGACAGAATGGCCCTCATCCCATAAAAATAAAGAAGGATAAATGAGACAAAAAATTAAATTTCTGTGTAATTACATCTAATCCACTGTGAAATACATTACATGGAATGAGACTGAGGAGAAGAAACAAAAATGAAGTAAGCAGGTTTAATGAGGCAGGTTAGCTATGCAGAACACCATGACATCAGCCTTCAGAGATTCTAGCAAAGATAGCAATTGAGAATTGATTCATGTCTCTGTATTTGAGCTAAATATTTACTGTCAATATATACATGCATACATACTTACATAAACAGACATGTTAAGCAGTGGTTTGGAATTTGTTGAGCACTTGGTATGAACTTTCTTCTTTTTAAACCCTTAAGTTTAGGGACTAAACTTCTGGATGTTATCTTGAAGACTTTCATTTATAGGAGTTGATTTCAGAGAAAAACCCACTTCTAATAGACTATTTCCTCTCTTTCCTAGGTTCTCTCATCTGGTCCTGATATTAATTATGACCCACATCGCTGGTTAGCAGAAAGCAAGGTAATTAATCTTTGAATCCTAAAGTTATCATGATCTTCAAAGCATCGTATTTGGGATAGCCATACATGTTGTCACATATTGAGCATATGAAGCTATAATACTTCATTGCTAAGAAAGATATCACTGTAATGCATTTAAGAAATCTCCATGTTCCTTTAGTTCCATTAAAAAATTCACTTAAATATATAGTCATGGAATGAGAAAATAAAGGTAAAACTGTTGACATATTAAACTAGACTGTCAGAAAGACAAATTCTTTTGCCTTTTCCTTGGGATAGACAGGATCTCTAAAAGCATACAAAGGTCAGGGCATCTGTAACCAACCTTCATGTACACACATATACTGTATGTATTTTGGTTTCTGAGGGTAAGCTCAAAGCCTGCCAGATGTTTGCAGCTCTAGCAAATCCCTTCCCCTCTCTGGGGGTTTGTTTCCTCATCTACAAAATGGGAGGGATAAATATTATGTTCTGAAAATAACTTTTTTGCTTCATGGTTCTTTGGCATTGTGATTTAAATTTAAGGGAAAATAAGGAAGTATAAATAAAATTGAACAGTTTGCTAATTTTATCAAGAAGATTCTTCTACCCTATGGGATAATCATCAGTTATATTCATAGATCGATCTACTTGGAAAATCATTAAATAAAATATGTAGAAAATTCTGATCACATAAGATGTTGATAATCTGTTCATCCAAATATCAAAATTAAGCACTTGCATTCCTTTTTAGACTAGATTTTTTCAGCTTTAAGATAATAAAGTAGAAAATCTTCCATCCCACTTAAATTTTATAAAACAAACTGTACTCTAAACCTGACCAATTGTAGTCTAATTTAGAATTTTATTGCATGAAAGAACTGTTAAGTTTGTACAATATCCTTATTTAAAAATATTAGGGAAGTGAGATTTCAGAGAAGGTACATGGCTTTTCCAGGGTCATACAGAGAATGAGAAAATGGATTACATGCCATGTCAAGTTCACAATTAACGTTCTTACCATTATGTGCTTTGCCATCTAAAGCCTTTGTTCATTGAATCAAGATTTATTGATTGTGTACTTGTTTGGGAACAGAAACAGGATGTAAGTGTTAGCAAGCCCTGAAAGTTTATAGGGAACACGGAGATGTAAACAAATTTAGAAAATATTAAGGTATGTTATGTTATTATAGAAATATGTAAACATTGACAAAGGAACACAGAAGAAAGAAGAACTCACTATGATTTCTGTGCTGGGAGGATGAGAGGTTTTGAATCTGCCAGCATGTCACAGAAGGCTTCTGCAAAAATGCAGTATTTCAGTTCAGTCATATGGAAAATATGTAGAAGTTCTCCAGTTGCTAACTGTAGGTATAACAATGTCAACAAGATGAAAATATTTGAGTAAATACAGATAATGCCTGGAGATTGGTGAATAAGGTGTAGGGGGAAAAATAGTCTTAATAAGAAACTAACAGTACTATGATTAAACATAAATTTACCCACTCTTGTAAAATATTCTCTCCTATTTTAAGTACAGCAATCCTGTGCATTCCTAACCATTTTTGATAAAACCAAGTACAAACTTGTATTTATGCCAACTGTGTAGGAAATTTAGAATATGCATGTTTTGCTGTCTCAGAATTTTTTGGCTACAACATTTTGTTGTGTGTTAACAAAGCATTTCTCTTTCTCCTTTTTCCTGGCTGACAACAAGAGCAGTGTACTTGGAATTTTCTTTCAAGTTAAAATCTTTATCATTTGTGAACAGAAAGCTTTCTCTGCTGTGGTTCAGTTAAATTATGAGAGCCAGAGATGACTGTTAATCATAGCTCTTTAATTTGGGAGCTATTGAGCAGTTTTTCCTTATCATTTAATGGGATTGAACTTCTGATCAGTCCAGTTTTAATACTGCATGAGACAACTGTTCCTCTACAGTGTAAAAGGGTCATGATAAACAATACCACACTGACCAACTGACTAAGGAGGAATTGAGTCTATTTATTAGAAAGATGGCTTGGGTTATTGATGGGCTACAATACTGTAATTCCCATGAACTATGACTAGATAGCTCTATAAGTATTGAAGATAAGATCTGAAATCAGAGGACAAAAACTATATGGAAAGTAGAATTGCTGTTCAACTAGTCCATGCTGACATCTTGCAGTATTAGAAGGACCTCTGAGGGCAATTTGGTAATTGTTTTTGTAAATCTGCCAAATGAATTTCTTCTGTTAGTGTTAATCTTAGGAGAACTGGAGGACTGAGTTGGGGATTGTGTCACTGTTGCTTTGTTCATATCATAGCATAAGATTGGCATAAAGTCCAAGTAACAGTTGGACCAATCTCAGAAACAATAAAGAATCAAGATTTATTGATTGTGTACTTGTTTGGGAACAGAAACAGGATGTAAGTGTTAGCAAGCCCTGAAAGTTTATAGGGAACACGGAGATGTAAACAAATTTAGAAAATATTAAGGTATGTTATGTTATTATAGAAATATGTAAACATTGACAAAGGAACACAGAAGAAAGAAGAACTCACTATGATTTCTGTGCTGGGAGGATGAGAGGTTTTGAATCTGCCAGCATGTCACAGAAGGCTTCTGCAAAAATGCAGTATTTCAGTTCAGTCATATGGAAAATATGTAGAAGTTCTCCAGTTGCTAACTGTAGGTATAACAATGTCAACAAGATGAAAATATTTGAGTAAATACAGATAATGCCTGGAGATTGGTGAATAAGGTGTAGGGGGAAAAATAGTCTTAATAAGAAACTAACAGTACTATGATTAAACATAAATTTACCCACTCTTGTAAAATATTCTCTCCTATTTTAAGTACAGCAATCCTGTGCATTCCTAACCATTTTTGATAAAACCAAGTACAAACTTGTATTTATGCCAACTGTGTAGGAAATTTAGAATATGCATGTTTTGCTGTCTCAGAATTTTTTGGCTACAACATTTTGTTGTGTGTTAACAAAGCATTTCTCTTTCTCCTTTTTCCTGGCTGACAACAAGAGCAGTGTACTTGGAATTTTCTTTCAAGTTAAAATCTTTATCATTTGTGAACAGAAAGCTTTCTCTGCTGTGGTTCAGTTAAATTATGAGAGCCAGAGATGACTGTTAATCATAGCTCTTTAATTTGGGAGCTATTGAGCAGTTTTTCCTTATCATTTAATGGGATTGAACTTCTGATCAGTCCAGTTTTAATACTGCATGAGACAACTGTTCCTCTACAGTGTAAAAGGGTCATGATAAACAATACCACACTGACCAACTGACTAAGGAGGAATTGAGTCTATTTATTAGAAAGATGGCTTGGGTTATTGATGGGCTACAATACTGTAATTCCCATGAACTATGACTAGATAGCTCTATAAGTATTGAAGATAAGATCTGAAATCAGAGGACAAAAACTATATGGAAAGTAGAATTGCTGTTCAACTAGTCCATGCTGACATCTTGCAGTATTAGAAGGACCTCTGAGGGCAATTTGGTAATTGTTTTTGTAAATCTGCCAAATGAATTTCTTCTGTTAGTGTTAATCTTAGGAGAACTGGAGGACTGAGTTGGGGATTGTGTCACTGTTGCTTTGTTCATATCATAGCATAAGATTGGCATAAAGTCCAAGTAACAGTTGGACCAATCTCAGAAACAATAAACAATGAATGGTAAAAACAATATATTACAGGGAGGAAGAGGGTTGTGGTGATTATTAAGGAATGCCAAGAAAGGAGTCCTAATTAGGGATTTGTTCTTGTCATAAATCCTGACGAGACACTTGAGGAGCAAAATTTTATTCATTTTAACAGAGAATTTACTGAGTAACTACTATGTCCCAGGTGCTATATTACATGCTGTGGACATAAAAACAGATGAAGATGTGATCCTTCCACTTGAAGAACATGTTTTCTCCAGAAAAGCTGACGCTTACGTGGATAGTTTCAGTGTTGTATGTGAGAGCTGTGCTAGAGGTATGCAGCAGCTGCCGCTGAGGCTGATGTCCCATGTGAACCTTGAAGCTAGCCAGGTATAGAAGGCAGTGCATGCAGGCAGAGTCAACAGTAGGAATGGTAAGGAAGATAAAGCATGATAAATGCAAAGAAATCCCGTGATTTGGAAATAATACTGCACTATGAAAGTATGAGACTGAGAATGGAAGGAATGAGGCTCTAGAAGGAATAGAGATTGAGTGGATCAAGAAGAGCATTGTATGCCACTTTCAAAGCTTGGGTCCCGCTCTGTGTTTTTTGGGTATCACAAAAGAGTTTTGAACAGAAGAGCGATGTGTTCATGTTCATATTTTAGAAGCATCACTCTCATAGTGATGTGGGAGGTGGATTAGAGGTGGGTAGGTCTTTCAAAGGCAGGAAGGCCAGTTAAATAAGAGGTTCTTGGGTTAGACCCAGGGCTCTGGGTAATGGAGGGTCTAAGTCTGAATTGAGGAAATTGTAGAGATTCAGAGGAAGGGACAGTCTCGAGTAATAGTTTGGTGACAATATGCAAGTGATGTTTAATGGCATGCCAGAGGATGATAGAGAAGATGTCCAGAATTTTCAAAACAAACTGGAAGATCCCAAAGGTTGGTATTTGAAGAAATAGACATACAGGGTTCCAGACAGGCAAACTAGCAGTATTGAAAGAGTTTCCACCACAGGGATTGATACCCAGAAGTTTCCATTTGAACAGGACAGGACCAAAGAGAAGAAGGGACAAAGGCACAGATCCGAGTTAGGTTCAAATTGTGGGAAGAAATGGGAAGTACCAAAGATATTCACAGTGAGAAAACAGGAACACATTATCAAATCTAGGGCAGGCAGTCACTGTCAGGTCAATACTAGCAAGTGTCACTGTTTATCCCACATTGTAAGTTGTCATTTTATGATAGGGAATAAAAGAAAAGCTGATGTCAGCTGCTCTACAGCACACGGCAGGATCCTGAGTGCTCTGTTGTTTACAGAGAACACCTTTAATTCTATACATAGGTAAGAAATGTACTTCTGAATTATTCGGGGATTT